ACAGCATGCGCGTCTCGACGTCGGGTTGTAGCAGGTGTCGGTCGCGGTAAGCATCGGCTCGGTCGGACGCTGAGCAGACACGCGGAGAGATGTTGAGAACACGGACGGGCGCTGGCGAGGACGCGCGAGATGCGGGACAGCGTGAACGGGCGCTGAGGCATGTCGTGCGTGCTAATGCGGGACTCCTAGGCGGTCGCGGATTGGGAGCTGGCGTCTGGGACCACGCGGGCTTGCGGATCACGTCTCTTGGTCACGCGAGGAAGGTGCGCGCGTAGTTGACGGGCGCTGGGAGTTCGCACGGACGTCGACTGACTACGCGGGTGGACGGCGAGCAGACAGGTGATCGCTGGAAGCTCGCAGGCGTCGACTGGGCGTCGCTGGCAGGGCCTGGGCGATACGCGACTGCTTGCGGTAGCGGGCAGTTGCGATCAGCTCGAGCGATGGCTGGCGGCGGTTGGCAATTTCCGGCGGTGGCTCACGGCGGTGATCAGCGGCGATGAGATGATGATGATGACCGGAAAATATATGTATATTAGAGGCTCAATATATTGTAACAAAAAGCCTTCTAATGGATTGCCTAAACACCTACTTCGACCAAACTTGGTGGAGCGTTTAATCGAATCTCCCTAACTCTCGAACAAAGATATTTCTCGTGTGTATGTAGAGAGAAAATTCGGCCAACACATCTATGTAGGAGAGGTTGGGACATGGTGTATTTATAGGCTCCATAAGGGACCTTAAGGAGGTGCTAAATATGGGCTTATTCCATTAGGCATAGGAATCCTAATTCTAATCCAATACTAACTCAATGTAGGAAAGAGATCTCCTACTAATCCATCTCTTCTAGAAGACTTTTTAGTCTCCTAACACTAGAGAAGATCCTAGTAAGAATACCTTTCCTAATTAATAATCATGGAATAGAATTAATTCCTAATTTATGAAACCTAATTTCACTCCAATTAATAATATAATGTAGGAAATATATTTCCTACTAATCTCCATCTTCTAGAAGACTCTCAAGTCTCCTAATCCCAATAGAAGATTCTAGTAGGAATTTTATTCTCCTAATTAATTAAGTAATATGGAATAAAATTAATTCCTATTTAATAGAATTAAATAATAAAACATTCCACTAGAGTAATATTATTGCTCTCCCCATTTAGCCACTATTTTACCAATAAAATTGAGCCTCCATGATTAAATAATATTAATTTGATTGATCGATTTACCTCCCTATGTTTAAGATATAACGTCCGTTGATTAATTAAATTACTGACAAAATAATTAATCAACTTCTTATTCATTTATGAAATTAGCACCACTCAGATCCTTAACCATTATGCCAGACAATCGTCTACCTGCAGGGTTTAACATAACGTACATTCCTGAGCTCATTTCGAGGACGTCATCAATCCAGCGCACTGGAACATAGTGACCATAAATAATTTATAATAGCACATCATATAATTATTCTTAATTATCAAAATACCTCGTATATCATCCTAATAAAATAGGAATCACTTGGTAAATCAAATATATAAGAAATAAAAATATATGCCTATTTTATATTATCTTACGGCTTAAGAGAACGCATCAATCACTGAAGGACGAGGTTACAACTACGGTCAGTGAGTCTCATAATCTTTTTCCTTCCGTGGTCCTGTTCAACACTTAACATAAGTGCTAGTGTAATTCTCCAGTCAAAGACCAACTGAATCAAGTATACACTACAGTATTTTTCCAAGTGGGGTCTCACTGCCAGACTAGACTACGAACGAATGATTTAGTCTTATAAGGAACCGATAGGTGATCTTTCTGTTCGAAACACTTCGAACCACACTACCTCAATATAAGACATGGAGTATGTATTGCATAAATAAATAAACTGCAAACATATGTACTTTGACCGAAACATGATGGCCAGATCAAAATGGAATTGATAGAATCTGCAAAACATAGCTTTTACAGCATACCTCTAACACTCGGGAGGTCGCAAAGGCCGATAAGGTCGCCGACTACGGGATGGTCAGAAAAAGGGCGGGGTTGGGGTGCGTAAGCAAGTCCCACTTAGAGGAAAAGAGGGAGTGGAAGTAAGCCCTCGCCGACTCCTGTATCTGGGACTCCTGGGTCACGAATGATCTGTTATCCTCGATACTATGGATATACGAATTGACCCGCTTCAGCCTCACATATCCCTAGAAGTACTTGGTATTACGTTCCCCCTCAGCCATCCAGCGAACAGCAGCCTTCTGCTTCCAGAAAGCTTCATCCATAAGGAGGCGCAACTGGTACTCAGCATGGCAGCGGCACATCTCGGTCCTATTTTCTGGTGAATAGTCCGGATGATAGATCCGTTCAGCCTCCGCATACGCAGTTTGAGCTGCAGTAAGGCGCTGAGAAATATCGCCAAAAGTCGTCCAGTTCCACTGCTTCAAAACGCGGCGGAGTCTCTCGAGCTTCTCCTCTAGGCTGCGCATCCCATAAAGGTGCGTAGTCTGCTGCCAGGAAGCTCTAACAATATCGTAGAAAGAGTGGTCGCGTACCCACATGTTCTGGAATCGAAA